CAGGAATCAGTGTGGCCACATGACCGGCCTGCCTGCCTGAGCCGGCTCTCGGCCTCCAGGGTTCCCAGGGTGGCGTCCTGAGCCACGGCGATGCGGGGAGGTGCGTGTGCACGTGTGTGCACACAGGCGAGACGCTCCCCGCTGGAGATGGCACCTGGGCACGCTGGGCCCCGGGCTCCGCTCAGCCTTTGGTTCTGAGGGCAGCTGTGATGGAGCGGGCTCTGGGAGGGAATGGGCATTATCCTGTCACTCCCAGGGACAGGAGGGCTGCTGTGCCTCAGCCCAGGGACACCCCATCCTCTTGGCCTAGGGGAGCGTCCTGAGGCCACGGCCCCCTGCTCAGAGCCTCGTGTCCCCTGCAGTATGAGGCCGTCATGGACCGGGTCCAGAAGAGCAAGCTGTCACTCTACAAGAAGACCATGGAGGTGAGCACCAGGCCCCACGGACCCTCCCTGGCTGTGCTCCTGGAGCCCCGTGGGGTATCTCAACGAGCTTGCACAGGGTCTGCTGGGCTCCCAGATGTGTCCTGTAAGGCACTGGGCGAGAGGAGGGAGGGAAGAGTGGGTGGCATTCTTGGGACCAGGGACCAGGCCCCAGGCAGGCCTGGCTGCCCCCAGGGGAAGGGGCCGGCCAAGCCAATGGCCCCTGCCATATCTCATCTCCTTGCTGGACTCTCACCCTTGCCGTCGGCCAGGAGGCCCCACTCCCCCAGCTCCCTGACAGAGGTGGGAGGCGGGAGGCGGGGTGCAGAGCTGTGACCGGGGAACACATAGAAGGGCTCTCACCCATCATATGCCCCCTCACGCCCCAAGTCCAAGAAAACGTATGAGCAGAAGTGCCGGGACGCAGACGATGCAGAGCAGGCTTTCGAGCGCATCAGTGCCAACGGCCACCAGAAACAAGTGGAGAAGGTGTGTGGGGACTCGTGATGTCACCACGGCGGGGCGGGGCTGGGAGGCAGGGAAGGGGCACTGCAGACACCTGTGGGCAAAGGCTGTGCTGGAGCCCCCTCGATCCTGTCTCTCACCTGCTCTGCTCTAGACAGAGCCCCTGCGGATTCCCTGGACTCTGCGGCCTGGGCAGGGGGTGCGGTCAGCTTGATGCCCTTTGCCACCTCCTATCTGCGCCTGAGCCGTCCTCAGAGCAGGCGGCCGTGCTAGTCCGGGCTCAGGGGGCAGTGTGGATCCTCGGACTGTGTCCGGGCAGGCCCATGTCACCGCTAGGGTAAAGACTGGGATGGTGAGACTGTCCAGGGCTTAGAGCAGGGGCAGCAGGGAGGGGTCCACCCCCTAGGTCAGGGCCCATGCTCTGTCTGCTGTGGTCCCCTGGTCAGGACATGGGATCAGAGTCCCCTAGGGCTAAGCATATGTCACCCACTGCACAGACGGGAAGGCTGAGGTCAAGGGCAGAAGTCTGGAGGCAGTGAGTCGGGGCCAGGCCCAGCCCACACCCCTCCAGCAGGACGGCCATGTTTCGTGTGTGGCTACACAGGCTGCAGGTTGCCAGGGTCATTTCCTCTCTGGGAGCCAGCCCAGTCTTTCGTGGGGTGAGACTGTCCAGAGTTGGCTCCTGAGTGACCCCCTGGTGGCCAGGTGCAGCGGTCACTTGGGGTGGAAGGAAGGCTGGGAGCTCAAGGGCTGGGGCCAGCTAGGCTCAGACGGGGCAGGGGCTCAGCCCGCTGAGACACAGTTCCCTGTGTCCCCTCAGAGCCAGAACAAAGCCAAGCAGTGCAAGGACTCGGCCACGGAGGCAGGTACGGCCCGCCCCTACCTCTGGGGCACCCACCCAGAGCGCACGAAGCAGACAGACACGTGCTCTGCAAGACTGCTCTGTCCTGACAATGAGCACGCCAGGTAGCTATCTAACAGACAAGAAAGAGGAGGCACAGGAAGGTGGAGTGACTTGCCCGTTAGTGGTGACAGCATTTGCACCAGGCCTCAGGCTCAGAGCCTGCATCGGCAGGGCCACATCCACGGTGGCCAATCTCTCATCTGGTACACACGCACGCACACCCTGAAGCACGCACGTGTGCAGAGCCTGGTCTGGGCCTGTCCCTCCCAGTCCTCCCTCAGGTCCCCAGCACGTCCGTCACTGCGGGCCTCCCTTCTAGGACAGACAGGGAGCTCCCCGTTCTCCCTCTGCTCCACCTCTCCCCTTGGCTGGGCCATAGGTGACCCTGGAGATCAGGGACAAGGTCGTGGCCACACCTGCTGGCTCCCTGCCCACCAGCTCTAGAGGGTCCCTCTACCTCCCAGCCCAGGGCTCCACTCCAGCCTGAGGGCACTTGGAGCACAGTGGGGGGCTAGGTCATCACAGAAAGACTTGCAGAAAGACTTGCGGGGAGCCCTGAGGAGCAGCAAGGCCCCTGTGCTTCCAGAGCGGGTGTACAGGCAGAACATTGAGCAGCTGGAGAAGGTGCGGGGCGAGTGGGAGCAGGAGCACCGGACCACCTGTGAGGTGAGCGACCACACGGGGCCCCAGTCTCCCCAGCGATCCACGACCCCTGCTCCAGCAGCTTCACGGGAAGAGATGAGGCAGCGGGGATAGCGATTGTTCACTTGCGCATCCTACTCGTCAGGCCCAGGGTGGGCCCTGGGTCCCTTGGTACAAGGAGGCATCCTTCACCCCTTTGTGCTGAAGCCGAAACAGGACCCAGACGGAAGGCACAGCTTCCTGTGCCCTGCTCTAGACAGGGCCTGGCAGGCAGGGCTCTGGACCTGGGATCCTGTGTCCTCACTCCCCTCCCGACTCCAGCCTCTTCTAGCGTGAGGTCTGGAGGGAGGCAGGGGCAGGAGTCCCAGGTAGCCCACATTCTCCTAGCAGCCTCTAGCCAGGCAGAGGTGGGGTGGGGGCCACCAGGTCATCTCCTGGAGCTTGGGTGTGCCCAGCCTGGCCTGCTACCCCTCCTCCCTGTTCACCTCCCTCCCACCCCCAGGCCTTTCAGCTTCAGGAGTCTGACCGGCTGACCATCCTCCGCAATGCACTATGGGTGCACTGCAACCAGCTCTCCATGCAGTGCGTCAAGGATGACGAGGTGAGGGTGCGGGGTATGGGGCAATGGTGTGCCAGGCTCACCTGGGCCAGTGGGCACATACCTAGTCCTGGGGTCCAGGCCCTGCTACCAGCAGCCCGAGGACTGGGCTCAGTGTGCACAGGGCTGTGGTGTGTCTGCTTAGAGAGCTGTACCTCTGCCATGAGCAGGCTTCTGCCTCCTCTCCCAAGGCCCTAGGATCTGCTCTGAGCCCCAGAGCACTAGCTCCCCCTGCAGGGGTGGAGCACAGCCTCGGTGAGGTGAGCAGAGGCTGGGGGAACCTGGCTGCTCACTCCAGGCCTGATGCTCACAGGAGCCAAGGCCCTGCCCTCTTCTGCCCCCATCTCCAGGGTGTCCTGGTTCCCATGCTGAGCCCAAGGCACCAGGTGGGACGGGTGGGTCCTCCTGCCCATGGGGTGTGAGTTTTGGTTGACTAGACTGCCCAGGGGCGGCCTCCCCATGGCACAGGGGCAGCAGCTAGGCTCCAGGCCCACACATCCTGGATCAGGCCAGGCTGCATTACACTCTAGCTCTGTGACCCTGGGCAAGTCACTCTCCTCTGGGTCACCTCCTCTATGAAAAGGGAAAACTGTGCCTACTGCAGAGGACAGGCGTGTGCGGTAAGTCCCTGTGTGCTGAGGAGGGCTCGAGCCTCAGGCGGGCCTGAGGAAGTTACCCTCCATGGCTGGTTACAGGTGCCAAGTTGTGCGGGACAGGTCTGGGAGGGGCACGTGGGATGAGGACCTGGCAGATGACAAGGGGACAGCCCTTGACCAGCATGGGCAATGTGGGTGAGCCTGGCCCTGGCCTCTGCTCTCCCCCACCCCAGCTCTACGAGGAAGTGCGGCTAACACTGGAAGGCTGCAGTGTAGATGCTGACATCGACGGCTTCATCCATGCCAAGAGCACAGGCACCGAGCCCCCAGGTGAGGCCAGTTTCTCTGAGCCTCCCCTGCCAGGGCAGGGCTGGGGTGGCTCACAGATGCCTTCAGGGGAGGGTTCTGGCGAGATCTGGAGGAGAGGACAGTGTAGCCCCCTGGCTGGGTCCCTGGCCTGCTGCCTCTCCCCAGGCCAAAAAAAGAACAAGCAGAGCTAAGAGCCCTCAAAAGAGGAGATGATGGAGAATTAGGGTGAGGAACCTGCTGCAGCCCCCACCCAGTCCAGAATATTCCGTCTCAGCGGTACCCTCAGTGGGGTCTCTCGTGGAAGTGAGGCCCCTTTCTCAATGCCAGGAAGGACCCAGTCTGGGTCTTCGGGCAGGTCCTGCCTCCGTGCCCCCGCTGAGCCACGCTGGGCCTCACGGGCTTCCCGTCCCCAGCTCCGGTGCCCTACCAGAACTACTACGACCGGGAAGTGGCCCCTATGTCTGGCAGCCCCGGCATCCAGCCATCCTGCGGCATGATAAAGAGGTAGGGTGGGGGCCCGGTGGGTGGGCTGGGAAGCAGAGGAGCATTTTCACACGTTACGAGCACCTGGTGTGTGCCGGCCCTCTGGTGAGGGGAGACAGGTGCACTTCAGCCTCCCAGAGGACAGACACCCACTGTGCTCAGAGCTGCGGGGCAGCCCCCAGCGAGACTGGAGCCAGGCACATGGTGGGGGGTGGGGGGCACTAGTCACACACAGACACCCCTGCATGGCCATGGGTCCCCTGTGTATGGCTGAAATCTTCTGTCCAGGGGGAGGCGGTTAGGGGCCGGCATGAGTCTGGCAGATGGGGACCTGAGCATCTTCCCTGAGGCTGCAGGGTCTTAGCCCTCCACGGGGCACCCCCAGCCCTGGCAAAGGGCCCTTGGGTGTCAGGCGACTCTATCCTTCTCCCCCTGCCCTCAGGTTCTCTGGCCTACTACACGGAAGTCCCAAGACCACCTCTTTGGCAACTCCTGCTGGTAACTGGGGTGATGTGGGGACATCGGGGAAAGGAGAGGACTCCTATATGCCACAGATGAGGCTTCTGAGATACCCAAAGGGGAAGGGTGTGCCTTCCCACAGCAGTGGGGGCAAGTGGTGGGCCAAGCTCGAGAAAACTGCCCTTTCATGGGTAGACTTCTAGGGGCCATGTCCTTGGAAAGGGCAAGGTTCAGCTCCCCCACCCCCTACTCTCAGTCTCTACAGAGACCCTGACCTCCACCCCTGAGCGCATGGAGGGCGTCTATGCCGCCATTGCCGTGCAGGAGACACCGGGGAACCCCAGTGCACCACCCCTGGGCTACCGCGCGCTCTACGACTACACAGCCCAGGTGAGCCTGTGTGTAGGCCCCGGGAGTGGGAGTGGGCCTGGGTACGGGCACCAGGGGCAGCACCCAGGCTCAGCAGGGCCTCAGCCAGCCTCCTCCGTGAAGGCCAAGGCCAGCATGTACGCACACGTGTGGCGACTACATGGCTACTGTCCACATGGGCTGTGCGTGTGTGTGTGTGTGCACGTGTGCAGGGGACAGTCAGGGCCTGGGGCTACCTGTGGCTATGATCTGGGGGTGCAGCTGTGCACCCTGGGCCCAGTCCTTCCACTGTGCCAGGCTGGGCGCTCTAACGTCCATGGGAGAGGACAGGTCCAGGCAGACACAGGACCCAGTATGCCCTCTGCCCTGAGCTAAAGGCAGACCTGGGGGCCAGGCCTGAGAATGAGGAGGCACTCGTGACACTGGAACAGGCTGAGGCTATGCTGGGCAGCCCTCAGCTTGGGGCCTGGCGAGAACCCAAGCCCTCCAGGCACTGTCTGGAACATGAGGGCAGCGGAGGCCTGTGCTGAAAGGCTCAGGAGGCCAAGTCCCTCGCACCCCACAGCCTATATCTCCAAGGGGCTGCCCTGGGAGATGAGCTCGCACTTACTGCTGGGGCCAGGCAAGCCAGGCCACACCCTCCCAGCAGCCTCCCCACCCTCCCGTGCTTTCAATCTCTTGCCTAGAATCCCGACGAGCTGGACATGTCTGCAGGAGATATCCTGGAGGTCATCCTGGAAGGGGAGGATGGCTGGTGGACGGTGGAGAGGAATGGGCAGCAGGGGTTTGTCCCTGGTTCCTACCTGGAGAAGCTCTGAGGAAGGGGCAGCACCCATGGGGCCCCACCTGCCTGTGGAGTCAGGAATGCTCTCTGCTCCAGGGAAGGGACAGTGTTGGTGCCCCCCAGGAGTGTCTCCTATGGAATAAAGGAGTGTGTTCTTTCCTCCTGGTCTGCCGGTTCCCTTTTTTCTTCCTCCTGCCCTAGTGTCAAATGTTCAGAGGCAGCAAAGGGTCGGGGGTGGGAGGCAGGAGAGGCAGGGGTCTTAGACAGCTAGCTGTCATCCTGGAAGGCCCCAGCCAGTCCCAGGGTTTGCTGGGGACAGAGGAGAAGAGGCCAGGCCAGTCGCTAGGAGCTCCCGGAATGCAAGAGAGACCCAGTGGGCCAGCCCAAGGTGACATCAGAGTTAAGCGCTCAGAAGGGACAGAGAAGGGTGTGGGCAAAGACGCCACACTGGGGAATTAGCGCATGCAAAGGCCCTGAGGTGAGACAACAGACTGTGACCAGGGTGAAGGACGAGGACTCACAGATAAAAGGATGGAGCCATTCCTCAAACCCAACACGCCCGTCCAGGTAGGGTTCCTGGGTCGTGCAGGCTGACCTGGGCACAGGGATGGCCACACTCCTGCTGTGCGAGGCCCTCCAGCCCTTTCAGGCCCAAGAGACACGCCGTTGTCTGCGGCCAAGCCCCACTCCACCCCGGCAGGCCCCAGCCCTGCCAAAGGCTCTCGGAGCGGTGCCGGCCCAGCCCAAGCTCACTGCAGGATCCCCAGTGCTGCCAGCACAGCGGGCCAGAGCGGGACCTGTGGGGTGGATGGGGCACTGCGGGCACACGCTGCAGGGCCTGGGGATGGTGCCACTGCTCCCTGCACACCATCCACCCAAGACTGCCAACAGCTCCTGCACGCGCTTTTGAGGACTGCTCTGGACAGAGGGCGAGGTGAGTGGGGCTTCAGGCTCCAGCTCTGTGCAGAGATCGTGACCTGGTTAAGAGGACTGAGTGGCTCAGGAAGTTGACAGCTGTCACCTGGGAAGAGGCGGCCCTGGACAAGCAAAGGAAATGGGAGATTCCTTTTCACTACTTCCTGCTTCTGGTGGCTCCACTGTAGGCAGAGGGGACATGCATGTGACAGAGAACAGAGTGAAGGTCATCACTGGAATTCCCAGGACTCAGACCAGATGAGACTTGGGAGGACCCCTCCCACCTCCTGCACTGTGCCCTCCCTGCCAACCCGGGCCACCATCTCTGATGGACAGGGCTCGGCTCATCCCATGGGAGCCTGCCCTGGGCCTGGGGCTTGGCCACCACCTGATAGCAGCATATGGGGTGCTGGAGTTGCCTGCAGAGGACAGCCTGCCCAGGAGAGGAGACGGCACCAGAGGGGGTGGGTGTGTGCCCAAGGGTAGCAGGGAGCAGGAGGCTCTCCCGCATGCCGGACAGATGTCAGAAGCAGAGTACAAGGGCTCCCTGTAGCACAGAGGCCCACCAAAACACCCTGCCTACACAGCCTGGGCCTCACATGCGTCTCTAACGCAGCCTGAGGGCTGTTTTGCTGGCCGAGGTTACCCGTCTGGGCCAGGTATTCCCAGGTGCGAGACCCTGGGAGCAGGGCTCTGAGCTTGGGCAAGGCCAGCTGGCGGCTAGATGTCACCCATCGCTGCTCCCCTCCTGAGCATGTGCTGCAGCTGGGGTGAGAAAAGGCCCTGGTCCTCTGAAATCACTCAGATTGATGCTCAAACCCTCTCTGTGTCATTCTCCCTCATACGGCACATCCTGTGAGAGCTGGCCAGGTGGGCACAGCTGTCCCCGACACTACCACAGCTCAAACACGGATGTTTGGAGAACTAAATGCAATCTGGTGCTTGGTCTTACGCTCCCCTGAAGGAGTCACCTGACGGGGACTTAGCTATGAAAAGCTCACCTGGGCCAGAAATGCTGCCCAGGGCATACACATCAAGCCCGGCAGGCCCAGCCTGGTTCCAGGCCATGCAGACACTCCAGAGTACCTAACCAAGACCTCCTGACACCGTGCATGTGCCTGTGTCCAATGAGGGTACGCTAAGCCGGAATATGACGCCCTCCAACAGCTCACCTACCCCCACAAAAGGGGCAGAGACACGCTTCCTGATGACTCTGATACCAGACACGCAGGGAACAGGGGAAGCTCAGGGCTGGCTATCCTACAGAGGACGGAGGCCTGCCTGGAAGTGGCACTTCGGCTGGCAGGTGATTTGGCAAAGTGCAGGAAGTAGAGGACAGGCTTAGGTGGCTGTCAGGCAGGTGGGACGGGGACAGGGAAGACGCGAGGCATGCACATGGAAGCCCCAGGTGGACTCGGTGAGGGAGGGGGAAGGGCAGCAGCAGGTGCAGGACGGCCAAGGAGACTGACTGCTGGGGTCAGGTGGCACATGGCCCAGGGAAGAGGGTGGGAAGGCAGCTTCCGGGCTCTACCTCTCCCCTAGAACGCCTCGTCTTCTTGACGGAACATTCCGTCCACTGCAAAGCCTGCTCGGAAACTCCGGCTGAGGTATTGGTCATCATCATCTCTGAGAGACAGCAGATCCTGCGGCTCGGGGTGATGGGCAGCAAGTACTAGGGGGGCTGCTCTGCGGGCAGGCGGGTGGGCAGCCGGGGGACAGAACTGGAGGTGACTTTCGGGTCACGTCTATCAGGAAAAACTTCACAAACTAGCCCAAGCCAGAGTCACTGCCTCTGTAGCTCTCTCCACCCCCAACACCAGGTCCAACCCCAGTGCTGGAAGCACCTGCATGGAGGGTGGCCTGCCCAACAGAGGAGATGGCACCGGGCAGAGGGGCGGGCTTAAGCAAGTCACGATTTCTCAAGGCCTCAAAGTCCTCATCAGTAAGATGGGTGCAATATGCCCCTATGCAAATTGCTATTCCTGTAAGGTTCAAATCAGATAACGGGTAAATGCTAATTAAATTGAAAAGGTTACTACCTTCTAAAATTTTTCCAGGTGATGCATGTGCTCATGGGGGAGGGGGAGATGAAGGAGGGGCAGGAGGAGTGAGAAAGCACTCCCCATGGTGCACAGCCATGCTGCGAGCCCTCCTCTAACACTTCTCTTATCAAGATCCTGAGCACGCATGCCCAGCACATTTCTCAAGTCACAGAGTCTAAGACGTGAACCAGCAGGCCATCAGCCTGGGTTTATAACTTTAACAAAAAGGCCCACAACCTCCGTATCTGGCTATAATCAACACAGCTTTGCGTTTAACTGTCCTTACTCACATGCCCTCTTGGACAGCTGTGGCTTCCAATGGTGTCCTTCCCAGGGGTGACAAGTCACAGGCCATCATGTAGCCAAAGGGCACACATCACCACTGGCATCCAACACCAATTCTGACCACCGTCCCCTGCCATTCCTAGTTCTAGGCCCAGCAGCCTCACCATAAGGGTGACCTGGCTGGTTGGTGGGCTTGCTGGCCCTACCATCCTTACAGGACGACAGGACCACGAGCCATAGCTTTTGAAATGTGTTCAGTAGAATGCCCTAGGGGCCCAAGGGAGTGGGAAAGGGCAACCCCACTCCATCGGAGCTCTCCTCTGGAGTCTGCACACGGGGCTGGCAGTGGTTCTTGGCCCTAGCTGCTCAATGGAATCATCTGAGCAGCTTTTGTTTTTTAGGGTTTTGCTCTAGGGCGCTTGTACCAGCCAGAGAGAGGCAAAGAGAGACAAAGTGAGAAACCACCCCCTGGGAGGATGGCCATGCTGCAATCCCTGCTTTTCCACTTTGAAGATTTGGGGCATGCATGTGCATGCACATGTGTTCAGTGTGATTCTCAAGCAACCAGTCCAGGACTCGAACCACGGTGGCCACGTGGGATCCAGTCCCTTAACCACCATGCTACCTGCTGGCCCCACCTGAGCAGCTTTTAAGCATGCTGTTTTGGTCCCACCTGAACCAAACTGAAACTGAACCTCTGCAAGCTGAGCTCGTGCATAAACATTCTCCTGGCAATTCTTTTTTTTGTTTTTTTGGAGAGGTTTTTGCTATAGGGCGCGTGCGCTCGCCAGACAGACAGAGAGAGACAGAGAGACAGAAAGTGAGAAATCACCCCCCAGAGGTGGGGTCTCTCTGTCTCCTGTCTTTCTGGGGAGCGTGTGCACCCTATAGTAAAAACCTCTCCAATAGCCTAAGTGTCAACAGGATGTAGGAAAATATAAACAGATACAATGTTTTTGGAGAAAAGGATCAATCTATGAAAGCTTCAAACCACAGTAATAAATCCACTACTAAAGTTTTATCCTTGACTCCATGCAAAAATGCATGCCGCGGATGACGAATTAGATGAAGGCGGGGGCCGCACACACTGCGAGCAAACGGAATGCTTCATGTTTGCCGTGACAGGATGGGGTTAGAGCCACGTAGACTTCAGCTCAGTAAGAACGCCACTGCCCGCCAGCGTGTGTCGGGTGGTGTCTACTGCGGCAAGGCTGGAAGCAGCCACCAAGCCCCTCCACTGTGCACTGAGTGACCATGGTACTGAGACACCGATATGGCTGCCAAAAAGGGACCACGAGTGCGGCCTCTGACACGAAAAAAGTGTTAGGAAGAGAAAAGGTGATCTTGTTGGGCAAAATCCACTCAACAGCAAAAAGCAAAACTCACTACCAGGTCTGTTTCTACACAGAGTCTGGAAAGACAGACCTGGCTAAACTTGGCACTTCACTCTTTACAAATGTCTGATTTAAAAGCACCAATTATTTTTGTTAAAAACAACAATTTTGGGACTAGCAGATGATGTAATGGTTACGTCACTGGACTCCCACGTGGCTGACCACAGTTTGAGTCCCAGACTCAGAGGCTTAAAACTCATGCCAGGCATGTGCGTGTGTGCCCAAAATCCCGAGAGGAGACTGGAGGAGAAGGGACTGCAGGGTGGCCATCCCCCCTGGGGGGTGACTTACTGCTTTCTCTGTTTCCCTGGTAAGAGCACGCACTCTGTAGCAAAATTCTCTCTCTTAAAATAAATAAACAAAACTATTTTAAAGAGGTGGTAAGACAAGCCCTGTCAAATGACAGGTAGAGAAGTGACAACAACCTGTAGCAACGAGCTGCTTCTTCCCCCCAGCCTCGTACTGCACTAAAAGTTATGATACATTTTTGCATAGAAAAAAACACAGAAAAATATGTCACAACTCTCAAGCTCCAGGCACACTGTGCTGCACAGGCAGCCCCTCCCGCTCCTGTGTGCACTCTCCCGCAGAACCTGTCCGGCCCCCAAGCCGGGGCGTCTCCTCCAGGACAGCCCTGAGCTCTCTGGGCTCCTCCTCTGTGCTCCCATTCTTTCACTACTACGACCAAAGTTGGTCTGTGTGTCTCCAGGACGGGACCTCAGGACAGTATTACCACAGACTCTTAGAGGCAAGCACACAGGATATGCTCCACTATTTGTAGGACACACTAGACTGAAAAGCACCTGTGGCTTTTGAATACTGAGGCAACAGATAAAAAGAAAACACATGCAGATCCCAGATGTAAAGAACACACGCAAACTGCGATGAACTGTAGAGAGCAGAAAACATTACGCTGATTCTCGGGAAGGGAAATATCCCCAAAACGATGAAAAACTACGTGTTGAGAGGGCTGATAGAGTTTATTGAATTAGTTTTCTATTTACAACCGAGATCACGTCTACATACTGCTCAGCTAGTCTACGTGGGTACATTATGCCTAACAAGTTTAAGACTTACGATGAATGGGCACAGCCACACACACACTCACACCAGTTGTTTTCAAACAGTAGTGCACGCATTATACTCCTCCTATAAAGCCAGCTTTGATTAAAACCCACTAGATCCTAGTTCCAAAGGTCAGTCTAATTTTGAAGATGGACCAAAATACACATCGTATGATTCTAACATCTATTTTAGCCATTCTGTACAGCTGCTATCTTACTGGACTACATATATATTTTTTAAAAGGACACTGATGAGGGGCACCATCTGGTGTTCCCATTAACCAGACAGCTGGCTTCCTCCCCCTCCCCAAAAACCTTTGGCCAAGAGTTCTCCACTGTGCAGGCAACAGGGCCTGGGCCCGGTGATCCTTCTGCGCCAGCCCCTTCACTGCCTAGGGGCACCAGAAGCAGCCCCGCCCTCTGTAATTCTACCACACTAGCAACCGCGAAGGCTCTGAGATTAGAACGTTTACCGGCGTACTTAGCAGCCCGGGCATGGAGAGGAGCTAGAACAAGGGGATGCCGCGGGCGGGCGGGGAGGTAGGAGGGGACGCGAGGAGCCGCTGCTCCGACCAGACCGCACGGCGCTCGCACAGGATGAACTCAGGAGGCCGACAGCAGACCTTCTCAGTTCACCTTCCAAATCAGAGCAAGCCTCGAAGCTCAGGCCCGAGGTGCCTCCTATGCGTAGGTCCCGCCGGTGATGAGGAGCTCGTAAGCCGGGTCTCTACTCCGTCGGCACAGCACGATGCACGCACACAGCATGCCCAGCAGCTGTGGGGAGAAAACCACGGTGAAAACAGGTTGAACCTCTCTGCAGCTGCCTCTCTATGGCAGCGGAGCTGTTCCACAGTTCGATGGCCTGGATCATCAAAACACAGAAGTGACAACGACGAAAGGGATTTCTCCCCAATGGTGGTTTTGAAAGACCCAAGAAGTACTCAACTTCCGCTTTCCCACCTTCCCACCCCCAGGAAGACTCCATGAGCAGCACCAGGCTCCTATTGCCACCCACCACCAACGCGGAGCAGCTGTCCCGAAAACAGGCCGCAGTGAGGACACTCTACCTTGGCACCGTCCAGCCCGGCAGCCATGTGGGGCCACCGGGCACCTGCAATGTCAGTGATGCAACTGAGGAGCCGTTTTTAATTTTAATTAAAGTAATTTAAGTTTAGACAGATGTGGCTAGAGACTTCCATATTAAACACGGAAGGTCTAGGGCTGGAATGATTGAGAATAGTGTGTCAGTTAGGGTCGTCGTTTCAGGCACCTGGATTCTGAGGACCGAGGCTTTGTAATAACCTACAAAACAGAGTATAGGGGTAGCCCTATGAAAGAAAACTCATCTGAGGCCAAAAGCCATACTTTAAAGGTTTTTGTTTCTTTCACATTTACCATTTTTGAAATCTAGGCTTGGTTGAGTGGTATTACATATGCAATACTTTTTTTTTTATTAAGAGAGATTTTTGCTACAGGGTGTGTGCACTCGCTGGAAAGACAGAGACAGAAAGCAAGAAATCATGGTGGTATTACATATGCAATACTTTTTTTTTTTATTAAGAGAGATTTTTGCTACAGGGTGTGTGCACTCGCTGGAAAGACAGAGACAGAAAGCAAGAAATCATGCTCTGGGGAATGGCCACACCACAATCCCTTTTCCATTCTCTCCTCGGGGTTTCAGACACACACACAGAGGCATCTGGGTCCAGGATTCAAACTGTGGCTAGCCATGTGGGAGTCCAGTGACGTAAATCATTATGTCATCTGCTGGTCCCCATACGCAGTACATTTTTTATTTTTAAAAAAATTTTTGGAGAAATTTTTGCTATATAGCGTATGCACTCACCAGAAAGACAGAAAATGGGAAATCACCCCCCAGGGGAGATGGCCACACCTATCCCTTCTCCTCCATTCTCCTCTCAGGGTTTTTGACACACACGCACACATGCCCAGTGTGTTTTCCAAGCTGTAGGTCTGCGACTCAAAATAGCATAATCGTGCAGTCAGTCAGGTAGAATCCTGTCGCCTCAACCACCATGTCACCTGCTGATCCTCTCTCTCTTATTTTAATTAAGTCAAGTTGTATTGATCTAAAAACAACCTTAATATAAACTCTACTTGGGCTTAGGAATGCATCTTTTCAGGAACTTACTAACCTCTATACAGTAAGTAACTTTCTATGCTCACCATTAACCACTGTTACATTTCGAAAACTCTGCTATACTGAAATTTTATTCACTCTTGAAATTTTCGGAGGCTGGCAGGTGGTGTGGTGATTAATGGTGCTGGACCCCCATGTGGCTGACTCTGGTTCAAGTCCTGGACCCAGCAGCTAGCTTTCTCACTTTCCCTTTTTCTCTGTCTCTCTGTGTTCAAACTGAATAAATAAAATTAAATAATTCTTAACATGTTTTTTCCCAACAGACTTGAAAATATTACAGGTTTTAGTTCCAATATTTTTTCTTGCAATGAAATTTCCCCCTGCAATATTCAAGTCATGAAAATGGATCTTCAGCTATTCCCAAACACAATACCCACCAAAAGCAAAAATTGTAGAAAAGGATTACAAAATATAGTGAAAAATAATGATTAAAAAACTGACTTCTGGGGCCAGTCAGAGGTATGGTGGTTAAGGTGGCTGGATCCCACATGGTCAACTTTGCGGTCCAAGCCCTGGACCAGGCAACTTGAAAAACACATCAAGTGCGTATGTGTACATGCCTCAAATCCTAAAAAAGAAAGAGAAATGGAGAAGGGTGTGGTGTTCTTGCAGGAGGTGCTTTCTCACTTTCTCTCTGGTAAGTGCATATGCCCTACAGCAAAATTTAAAAACAAACAAACCACTCTT